TTTTTCTTTTAAAAACATAACTATTTATAATTTCCTAAATAATAAAAAAATAAATTATAGTAATGGAGTTAGTAAAGTTAGTATAGTAAAGTTTTCCCCAAAACTTTGTCTTCAAAATAAGGGTGCGTCTTATATTCCGAAACATATGATAATTAAATTGGGGAAGTTAGACTGAAAGAGTCATATTTTCGTCTTGCCATACATGAAATCCTTTAGATCTCAAAAATATTTACTAAAAAAAACCTTTTTTTCTTTTTCAGTTTTGACCTTCAGTGAATCACTGACTAAAATTGTAATTTTTATTCCGCTGGAAATAGTTTGCGGCTTGCGCAGAGGGCCGAGCGCGGCCTGGTGGTTAGCATTCCGCACTCTATTGGATCTGAGGTTCGTGTCCCGTAGCCATGGGTGCGCTCTGAGACTGACGGTTAAATCCCAATATTTTATATGACAGTAGTAGTCCAAGAGTTGATAGTAGGTGGCGTTGACTAGCTATCTTTCCTCTAGTCTATCACTTCAAAATTGGGGACAGCTAGTGCAAGTAGCCCTCGTGTAACTTTGTGTCAAATCCTACCAAAAAACAATCATTCAGATAGCATAGACGCAAGCTTGTACCGTGATAAACGACCGTAACAGGTATATAAGCACGTACATATTTTTGATATGTAAAGCAAACACTAAATGTTACAAAAGGAGACGCCGGTATAGTTTTTTTTATATTTTGAGATAGACACTGAAAGTTGATTATGAAAAGAATATAAGGAGCCATTGGGGGGGGGGGGCGTATACATTTTAACTATATTTATTTGTTGCTATAAGAGACGATCATCAAAAACGTGTCATTGTAAAACATTATGAATTACAGGAAATTTGCAAAAAAGTTTTTGAATTCATTTCAGTTTGTCACCTGATAATGTTAATACCATAAATGACCTGGTAGTTAGGGCGCTGGACTCGAATCCCCGTCACCGAACATGCTCGCCATTTAAGGTTGCACTCCAAGCCAGCCATCCGAGTGTAATAATCAAGGACTTGATACTTACAATTGTCTCCAGTTTTACCCAAGAATACCATAACGTGTTTGTTGGAGACCGATTAATAAACTGGCGGGTTTGAACTTGTGCATAAGAATATCCACGTTGCATGACAGTAGTATAAAAGTATATTAATTACCCGAGCGGCAAATCAGTGGAAGAAAAAGTAATTAATTAAACGGTAATCAGTTCTTTGAACTAATATGTTACTCTCGAAAGTTTTATCTCGTAGAACAAAGCTGTGATGTGTGTTCAGTATTTCACGCCTGCGCTTTGCGTGAATTAGGCAACTTTTTAAAAGTCGCCGTCAATGATATGTCGTGCCTAAAATTCGTGATACTCGAAACAAATGAATTACAAGTTTCTCCAGCTCAAGAAGGTTTTAAAAATCGCCCATTCTTCTTCAGGAAAATGATTTTTTAAAAAAGAGAGGACGCCCCATATGAAACATTGGTTCTTTACATATTTGACTAACGTATGTGGAAAAACCTTCCGAGATGTACACGAAGTCGAGGTTAGAAAGAAAACCTAAACCAATATAATGATGTTGTAGCTTTAGGGCACTGGTGGACTTGAAGAAACATTGAAATCGCTTTTTCTATTTCTTATGGTTCGAAAAACCATCTAAGTAATGTAACTGTATTGTAAATCTAAAGTGAGTCATGGTAATGTTTTGTCGAACTGAAATTCAAGAAGCTTCCTGTTAGTTTCAACTGTACTGATCAGTCATCTTCCGAGGATATTGTCTCAGGATATTTTACGCCACTAACAACACGAGGTTGTAATGGCGGACTTCCTGTCTAGGCAGTATTTAAGTACACTTATTTTCGATGATGTCATCATTCACTTTTTTTTTTCCGGTAATAGGGGGAAAAAATCTCGTAACAAATTTACACACATTTAATTGGCTAATTCATGCATGCTTTACGACCATAGCAACGTCATACTAAGTTATTCTTATTTCCGATATATTTGTTTTCCGAGGTATCGTGGAAAAAATATACATATGCGACGTTTAATTGCTTTGCCAAAAACGATACTTAATGGTGAGATTGATATTTGTGACTTAGATTTGTGTAAAGAGGATGTAATTAAAGAAGCTTATGCAGTAGAAGAAAAAAACAGCTTGGTTAGAAGAACCCGTAAGTTTCATGATCAGTTTATGGCTTGACATTGTAACGAGTCCTTGAATCTACAGTTAGACAAAATGACTGATACTGGGTGGCGCTAAAGGTTTTGTTGGTATGTTAATTCTTTGCAGGGTTTTGTCGAACGTCAGTATATATACTGGACAGAAGTTTTAGGTATTTTAGATATTTTTATCTGTCAACTTCTAAATTACTCTTATTGTTGGCTTCCCTATGTGAGTAGAAATTACTAGAGAAAAAAAAAGGAATTTCGTGATCATACAGTTTAAGGTCATTCTCTGTTTTTAATCGACTATGCTCAACAATTGTTAAAAGGTCTCATCTGGTAAAATTTTAATTTGATTGTTATTAATGGTTGTCACCTTATACCACATCTGAGCATTTTTCATCTTAAACTGCATAATCCTAAGTTAAATTACTTTTAAAAAAAAAAACTTGCATGCTGTAACATAGTGTACGGGTTTTTATCAATATGTGTTGGATGATGGGACATACCATTATTGCGATAGTTTTGTGTTGATGACCGTGGAGCAAACTGGTGCTTGTATAAAACACGTTGAACTTCACATTTACAGGAATCATTCGACATTTTCAGTTGATCCTTATCTTTTTTTTTCGTCCAACATTTAGTTTTTGTTGTTTTCTTCATTCTATGTGTGTAAAAATAGGTAGCAACTTATGAAAGCCATTGCACGTGGTTTTATTGAGTAGTAGACTAAGAAGTTTTCAACTAAGTTCATGTTAAGAAATATTTCTATTGAACTATTTTGTGAATAACTGGAAATATTTTGAGTACATTAAAATTAAATAACAGTAGGGAACACGACATGCCAAGAAGAAGCTTACTGCAATTAATAGATTTTACGTACTTTTTTTTTTCGATACATCAGAAACAAAATTTTTCGTTTGAAGCATCGTACGCACAAGTGTGGGCTTATTGATTAGGAGGTTCTCTGAAAATTTTCAAAACTATAATTTGTAAGTGCATTTTGGGGCACAATGTTAAAGAACAATCACATTGTGTTATTTTAAAATAGTGTTGATATTACGAAGTAAGTCGTGAACATTACCAACGTTCATTTTTATCTCAAAAGTATGGCTTTATAGTATTAGGTCGTCAAGAAATTAATGTCTCTTTTTTTTAAATGAAAAAATCCTAACAACTTGTATATCAAATCAAAACATTTATTAAATGAAATAGTCTCCATTCATTCTTATCGATGATGCTTTTCCATTTTACAATCAGGTTGTTAATGCCCTGATTAAAGAAATCAGTTGGCTTTGAAGCAAAAAACATGTTGATGTCCTCTTTAACACGTTCCATATTTGCATACGTTTTCCCATTAAGATGGTGTTGCAGCGAACGAAAAAGATGGTAATCTGATAGTGCCATATCTGGAGAATATGGTGGGTGGGGGAAACTTCCCAACCCAACTTCATTATCTTGTGTTGCGTCAAACGTATAACATGTGGACGTGCATTGTCATGGAGAAGAAGAACACCTTTGCGATTGACGAGTAAAGGACGTTTCTGATGAAGGGCTTGATTTAAACGTTTCAGTTGCTGACTATAG